TTTAAATTAGTTCGACTTTAGTTCTTTTTTGTCTTTCTGCTTTTAATGGTACTAGGCTTATTGGATAGTAGTAAGATAACGTAAAGGGGTAAAATAATGTAGAGAATTATTTTTTATATACTTTTGAGCGTTTTATATTTAAAATCATATAATTGTTGCACTTATTATCCCAGTGTTGCAAAGAGCCATAATTTAGAGAATTTCCCTTTATAACGCTTAAACCTAATTCTAATGCAGTAATTCGCACTGGTTCGTCTAGATTCTAGAACGCCTCCACATAAACATTTTTAAATTTTTTTATCACATAAAATTATAATATTGAAGGCTAATTATTACTTATATCGAACATAATTGATTAGTATCTGTGATCGTATGAATGTACGGCACATTCATCAAATTGTAATAATTATGCTATGCGTAAAATTGTTTTTCCCACTATCCCATGTTTGGGTAACACTGTGGGCAACACTGATTCTCGGAAGTGGGGTTCTTTAGGTTAGTGAGTTAGTGCTTTTTTTATATGAAAGAACGACTTAAGCTCTTTTTTTTGTTCTTTCCCAATTGTATTAGGCTTCTTGGATAGTTTTATCGTAAAATAATGAAAAGGGCTAATAAAATGTAAAGTTTTTTTGTATATATACCCATGATCGTATATATTTAAAATGATTTAAATAAATGTTATTCCATCGTCGTAAAGAGGATGTAATTTAACCAATTTTGACTTTATAACGCTTAAAGTAGTTTTACTAATGTAGAATTTACAGTGGTTCGTCTGGAACTCCTGCAAAGGAATATACATAATTTTTGTTACATAACATTATAAATATTGGGTACATTATATAGAAGGCAATTGATTAATATCTGTTTGTGTACGCCACATCCAACAAAATGTATTTTTTTTTTGTATAAGAGGAAATAGATTTTCCCTCCGTGCCATCTTTCAGTAACGCTGTACGCAACACGGATTCTTTTTTGTAATAATGCAAATATATTCACCTAACTTTTACGTAACAAGAGGATATAGTTTCAAATTTTTGCCTTTATTATATTTTATATTGTTGTGTAACTGCACAATTTATATTGGCTCTTCTGGGACCCCAGAGCATGATATCTACGTGTCATTTTTTTTAAATAACATCCAAAATATCGAATACAGAAATCCAATTATAATCGGGATAATTTATTAGAATCTATTTTCGTATGTCACATGCGTCGAAATTCAATTATTATGTACATAGGGAAAATAGTTTTTTCCTCTATCCCATATTTGGGTAACCCTGTGAGCAGCACTGATTCTGGGAAGTGTGGAAGGGAATGTAAAACCAAAGACCTATGCATTTTTTATCGTTTCGATTTCCTGTTTTTAATTGTAGACTTATTGGATAGTAGATTACTATATCCGTAAAATAGGTAACGAAAAGGGTATTAAAATAAAAAAAGGATTTAGAAATGTGTCTTTATAATGCTTCAAATTGTACGATTAATCTTTTTACGTAAGGTTTTGGTTGAAATGAAAAATGTTCTATTTATTGCAGAATTTCCGGACTGGTCAAATTGCTGTTTACATTAATGCATTGTTTTTCATTGAAACGCGATGGCCCTGCTTCGCCTCTGGTATTCACATTGTCAGAAACGGTCCATACGACTTTAATCAACATCGCTAACTTCCTCCTTCTAATATGAAATATGCTTTTCCGCGGAGAAAATCTTTTTTAAATGGACCCACTTGCCTTCTCCTCCCTCCCTCCGGAACTACCCTGCTCTTGCCCATGAGTAGCTGGGGCATTTTCAATTAGAGCAAGGAGTGCAAAACTTCTTAAAATTCTTATATAGCATGGATAACTTCAGGCAATATACTTTTTTGTTTTTGAGGTGTGGAAACTCTGAGCAACTTTGAAATCCTTTAAAGGGGGTAGGTAGATTGCCTGCAAAAGCTTTCTAGATGCTCTCGGAATATTAAATTTCTTCATTAAATATTCAATTATTTTCTCCTACCTTCTCTTCTTATTATTCATTGGCATTTTTGTACGTTAAGAACAATTATTTTTAATCTGTTCACTTGACGAGCTTTTTGGTCGTCAGGTTAGAAAATGGAAGTTATTTGGCATAAAGTTGCCAAGGTTTTTTTTTTATCATATCTGATGTCGGCTTTTTTGATCAAGTGCAATATTCGAAGTTTTGCCGGTTAGTAACATAAGCGGTGATGCAGAAAATACGGGCGTTATCAGAAAGAAACAACGAACGACTTTTTGAGTTCTGGTTTGCAAACTAATCATAGTTGATTTCTAGTTCTCCTTTTCATCCGTCTGTACTTTTTTATCATAATATTTTTTTGAATTAACTACTCAGTTTTCGCGATTATAGCGCAATTTATGCAACCGTAGTTTCACCATAGGTTCACGGTCTGTTTAATTAGTCCACGACAATGGGCATGCGAGATTTGCTATGTTTAATTGTTTGATTCATGTAGTTTGGGTTGGTCTTAACCCAGACTTAGAAATTTGACGCCTGGCTTAACCCCTAGCTTCATTTACTATAATTATAATTCCAAATTTGTCAAATATCTAAATATGATCTAGTTTAAACCGAATTCTAAGATAGAGTGTATCCAAAAGACTACTCTTTTAAACTTATACTTATTTGTTCTTGCCATTCTAAAAGCTCGAAAGCGTCTCGTTCAAGTTTTTCTGATTTCCTAATTCAAGTGCACATACTTTTTTTTATATTTCCCTAAATGCTCAAAAAGGATGAATCGGATCAATAAGGACTTGATCTCTCAGAAAGATTTTCACAAAATTGGTCTGAAGAACCGGTAACAATCCTCTAGACTTTATACCACTAAGGGTGGGCGACCAAGACCCGAGGGGTTGAATGCCTGGGTAGACTCGTACCCCATCCCTAAAAGGTCCGGGACTTGGTCGGCTCACGTCGTGTCCTGCTTAAATCTCATGGACTTGTTCACAGACCCCAAGATTTTGCACCATTTTATCTCGGGGAGTGATTTGATGATGTCCGCTCCTTCAAAGATTTCAAATCTGGACCTAGCATATCTTTCACACTCTGTGAAGTAGTGCCTTCTTGTTACTTTTTTATTTGGCAAAAACTGCAAAAATGATCTGGTTGAGTACCCATTACGGAGAGGTGTCTTCTCAGTGGACAGTGGCCCGTCAGAATACCTATCAGCCTCCTAATTGCCTTCCTTAAGATAGAGAATAGCCATTTCGATTCTGCTGGTTTGATCACTTTAACGAACTCTTTCGATCGTCTGTGTCCGGGGGATAAATTCCACTCCCTAAGGAATTGTTGCATGCCTCAGCCATTAATACTCTCTTTCGCTATGTTCATAGAGTGAGGTAATACCGATTGTTGCCCGACAAACGCAGTATTAGAACCTTCTTTGGCCAGGCCATCCGGCTTTTCATTGCCATGGTGTCCTTTATGTGCTGGTATCCAAATAAGTGTTATGTTGTTCTCAAACCTGGAAGAGATCCTATTGATAAGATCTCTGTTTCCTCCACCAGTCTAGAGATTGACAAATCTTTTTGTAATGACCTAAGACTAGCCTGACTGTCAGAAAAATTCTAATATCCTTTCCCTTAATGGCCCAGATTTCCGCCTTAAAAACGGAGGTGTTATTGCCAAGAGGGGAGGAGATGCTGATTCCTAATTTAGGTATGCAGATTCTTGCACCACTCCCTCTACATTTCCACTACACTAAAGCTGCGAAAAATAATCTAGGTAGAATAATTGCAGTATACAGCCATTTGGCTACCCATGGTTTGATTACCCATGTTTTACCGACAATTCTCCTACATTGTACTTTATACCACTATAAGAGTTTAAAAAAAATAAATGGTCAGAGAACATTACCATGAAATATTATAAAACAATAACAAATGAGTGAATGAACATGGGCACTGTTAAGTATTTAGAGATTACGCTTTAGATTACAAGAGACTTCAATATTTTTATACTCTCAACATTCTAGATTTCTAGATTTGAGGGTTGATGGGGTACTCGTTATTGCTCCATCGACCCTCTCACACTAATAAATACATTTACTCTTAATGTACACAGGAAAACACAAAAGAGATAACTATCAAGTACTGTATATAGTAAAACAGCCCTGCCTCCTCCAAAAATCGGAAGTGTAGACCCAAATATAATATTCCCCGCTGGACCACAATTGTCATATCGAATGGTATTATTACACGCTCACTATATGAAGCCAAGGAATAACCACTTCTGTTAAATGGGACACATCAATCAACCTTCCGGACAGCTATTACGACATAACGTCCATGGCAATTATTTTTATTTGGGTGAGGATGATCCCTTGTACGATTCAGATCCTCCGAGCGCCACAGTACAAATAGACCACCGATAGTACTCTTGATATGTGTAAGGTTATCTGCCGATCTGGCCCACCTACGATGCTAATTTCTTTCAACCAGTTTTTTAATTATCATTTTTGCTCACGAGGTCAGATGGCAGTGGTTGGGATGTCCAGGTCTTAGGATCCATATTTTCGATGATTATGCATTGTGGTGGCTATTTTATTTATTACAGTTACTGTTTGTTGGAGAGTTAAGAATATGGAATGAGTGAGAGATCTCATGGTGAGAGCGCGTGTGATTTGATGGGTCGTGGGTAATGAAAGAAAGAGAAAGTTTAGAGTGCAAGTGCTACCACACTTCAAAAACTAAATGACTTTATATTCAACCATCAATTCGGTTAAGTTTTGGTACTTTTACCAGTACTTAATTCCGCCTCTATTTTAGTTTTTTTTTTTTTTGATAAATCGGGAAACGGAAATCATGTTGATGGACTTCAATTCGGTCCGAGAGCGTGAAATCGTTTACAAAGGCCCCGGATTGAGAGCACATCACCTCGAAATCCCCATTTACCGTGTCTCACAAAAGAGCAGGGCCAGTGCGTGTACGGTGCAAAAAAACAACAACAACCACCTGTTGAAACGCTTGCTTTTCTTTTTGTTGCAGGAAGAAGATAGAATCTATCGGAAAAATGACGCAAATGACTCAGGAGGAAATCATGGCCAACACGAAAATCGTGGTCCAAGGCTTGGAGGCTTTAAAGAACGAGCACAATTCGATACTGAACAGTCTGAGCGCAGGATCCCTCGAGCTGACGGTCAGCGCTGTCGAGAGAGCCCAGCAAGCTGTACAGGATGCGTCGGTCTTAAACGAAAGGCAGTCCCTCGTCCAGAAATCACTTGACATGATAGAACTCGGACTTGGCGAGGCCCAGGTAAGAAGGAATTTTATTTAGATTTAGAACTTAATATTTTAATTTTGTGACCTTTACTACAACAAGATAGCATCATGACTTATAACTTGGAGAATCAATCAATACTGCATTATCTATATTTTTTTACGTTAACTATAATCCATACATGTTATTTCCTTTTAAATGGATTCAAGCTCATAAGCATCTCAAGAACAATTAATCCATTAGACCCAGTCTTTTCCATTCAGTAACGTGTAGTACGTTAACTCCATTAAAATGTCAAAAGTTCATTTTGTTTAGGTATTCAAAAAACTGGGCTAATCATGTTGAGTGCATTAAAGGTGTAGATGTTGGGTGAACCATTAAGGAACTGTAATTTGGCCTGTACCGATTATATTGATCTGACTATCCTCGTTGGTTTGGTCTGTCAGACGTGTTTGGACATTTAGCTATCTTAATTGCTGGTTTTGTGGTCAGCAGTAGTACGACACGGAATAAAAAACGAACCGAAACTAGGGCAGTTGTGAATCACGGAAGAAACTTCGCGTTCATCACATCGTAGACCTTAACAAGAGATCTTCCAACTCGTCATTGCATGCTTCCCACCGATTCGCCGCCTCAATTTAACACCATCTTCAATGAGGAATATTGTTTGTCCTCAACTTAATACCCTGGGGTAGTTTGATGGCGAATTAGACATCTTCCGTATTTTCTTCCCAGTTAGTTTTTTCAACTTGACAACATTCCAGTTTCAACTTGAAATATTCTTTAATTTTTTAATTCTTCAAGTACGAGAAATATAATTTACATTTGGTTATTTGTGTTCTGAATACACGTGTTCAATCGTCAGTTAACATTAGAAAGATATAAATAATTGATAGAACTTTAATAATTAAATTGGCAAAGCTGGCACTACGCCACTTTAATTTCAGTTTTATATCATTGTCTTGAAGCATGTAGAGCACTTTGACTAATTGGTTAAAGTAGGAAAACTAGGTCAGTGGCAAAAGTACAAAAAACGTTGGTGTATAATAAAGACCTAGACTATTTTCAAAGGTTTTTTGTTTGTCTATCCGCAGTTTTCAGCACCCATAGTTACAATGAAATTAATGGGTGAAAGTTTTCAGTTTGGATATGCTTTTGTTGTCGGATGTGGTGAGCTGGCACGTCCTAGAGTGCAACAATTCACTGCGTCACCGACAAAAAGTGAGGCTTGTGATTTCGTCACGGATGAAACGGAATCTTTTTTGTCTGATCACGGCACTTTTTATTGAATACTACATCTAGTTGTACACCCAGTAAGAGAAACTGACGTGTGATTTTATTTGTTGGATGCGCACATTGTTTGTACGGCCATTTTCGGGTTGTGTTGGGTTAAAGTAAAGGCTATGGCTAAGTTAGTTAAGGTGAGGATGTGTTAGGTTAGGTAGAATTAAGGTTAAGGACGGGCTAGGTTAGGATAAGTTTAGGTTTAGGAACGTTTTTGGTAGAGAGGGGGTTATGGTTAGTGTTAAGTGTTAGGGCACATATTTATGATTTTTCAGTGAAGTGGAGAAACATGTAATTGCGAAGGGCGAATCAATAAGTAAGGTTAAAATTGTGAATTCAGTTGAAAACCCCAAAAAAGAAAATTGTAGAATACACATACAATTATAAAGTTTGTTGAATATGTCAAATAACCATTAATAAAATAGGATTATTCCTAAATCTTAAAATAAAAATGCAATAAAAATAGTTAAATAATAAAAACATAAGACTTACTTAATTTTTCTGAATATTGGATAACTTAAAAATTACGATAATTAATGAAACACGTAACAAATGTACCATTGTTGGTATGGCAACACTGCAAGAACGCTTAATTTTTGTACTTACGATGCTTTAAACCTTACAGAATAATAAAGTAGAGAGTATATGTAAACCTAACAAAACTCGTATATTTTCTCCCCTTCGCAATTTCAGAAATTTCTGTTCAATTGTACCTAAACTGACCCAGCTTAACCTGCTCTTACCTAACCTGTCCCTAACGCTAACCGTATTTGTCCCTAACCATACCAAACGTAATAATTCCTAACCTAACTTATCCTAACCTACCCCACCCGTTCTATGCATACTGCCCGATAACGCAAAATTTAGGATGGGAAATATTCATACAAAGAAATTTGTGTTATCTTAAAACACTTGAAAATCTCAGTACATACAATACAAGTCAGCCAATAAGAAAAGCAGAGTTTTATCTATTATTAATTAAAGAAAAGATAAACTAAAAAAAGATACCCCTTTTTGTACCATGATAATGAATTTTCCTTTAGTAGATTTGTAACGATGGAAAACTATTCGGCAGGGGGCCAAATGAAGTTCCATTAAGGGCGCGCTTAACCTAAAATATCAGGGTGGTATTTAGTAGGTTGACTGTGCGAAAGTCATTTATCACTGGAAAGAGTCCAGCTCAGAGAAAAGCACCTCGGCAGACTTCGTGCTTGGACTTCTAACAGAAATTATAACAGTTTAGTGTTTTTGGTCGATCAGTAAAGCAAGCGACTCAATTTATTATTTTTAAAAGTAGTTTTCGATCAAAATCAAAAACCGTTTTAACAATTTGGGCAGTATTTATGAAACTATCCGCCATTATATTCAATAATTTTCAATTTTTTTTATTTTATGAAAAAGTTTATCCGTTATAATCCATCTATGACACACTAACTAACCTAGATAAATAAATTAATTGATTAAATGCCATTGTGAAGGAACAAGGAAGGAAGTTATGTTCTTAACAAAAGAACTTTTTCTTGCAATTTCGAAGCATTTTGACAGTCCTAAGCGTCAAAATTACCTTTTTCTCTACCTGATCATTGAAGCAATATATAACTTTCTACTTTTTTAGTTGTCAATTAACGTTGAAAGGTAGCATTTTAATTCATAAGTAAATATTGAATGATAGTCCATAAGCCAGTTTTAACTAAGTTTAATAAGCACCATTAGAGAAGATTTTCGAATATGGCCTACTAAAATTAAGATATCGGGTATTTATTTCATTGAACTTCTCACGATGTGCTACACTAGAATTTGTTGAATTGGTTAGGAATTATGTTCTATGAACGGCTTCCTGAGAAATGGCCAATTGCATCTATTACTCTTCTCGACTCGTCGGTTATCACGATGACAAAACGACCAGCATAACTGCAAATTCTATTTATATTAATAATTATAATTTTTGTTCATTAACAGTGTTTACTGTACTATTATATTGGCCTAAAACATATTTTCGTTTGTAATAATGGTAAGTTAAATAATAAATATAGGAAAATAATCATTGGGCACAGGAATGATATAAAATATTTTTAACAAACTTAAGAATAAATGCCATAGCTAGTTAAAATTTTGGGAGGGCATCTATAAAATGTACATATATGTCTTTTTAGAAAATTAATTGTAATATCTTTAAAAAAAACTATTTTAAAAAATTACACCGAGAAAATAACCATAAAGAAATGTTTTGGAAAGAATACGATGAGGTTTTATCCGATTAGGAAAAATCACTATGGGAAGATTTTGTCGTAATTAACATTTATTGACAAGGTAATTAATTAAAAATATGGTTAAAATGCCGATGCACTGAACTAAAGAACCTGTTTGCGGAATCAGTGTTGCCCGCAGTGTTACCCCAAACATGCTACGGAGGACAAAACTATTTTCCCCGTATATAGGATTAATATATTTTGATTAATTTGTTGTACATAAACAGGCATAAATAAACTATCTCTGATATAATTTGATATTCCTTCGATATTATAACGCAAATTGGCGTAAGGCCATTTGAAAAGGATACTTTCAGTTTTTTCATCGAATATCTCCTTCATACAGACTATGAAATACACTGAGAGGCATATAAAGTGCACACCCTTAACATTTTTAATTACCTTTTAGACAATCCTGTATTGATTATCTTACAACAATATTTGGTCCGTTTTAAAGTATTAGAGGTATATAAACCATTGATAAAATCTCCCAATTGTGTTTACAATAAAATTTTGTAAATAAATCTTTGAATAGTCTCTTCTTTGTTGGTTTTTCCGTAGAGCTTCTTTCTAACGTTTCGGTGTTTTAATTTTTTAAATTGTACCATTTTTAATTTTCACATTTGTTGAGTGATAGTTTTAAGTGATCTAGTGGAGAAGAATTTATCATTATATTATTAATCATTTATAATGTTAACAATTACGAACGTCAATTGATAGTTTAGAAACCTATGGTTTCAAGAGTAAGGAAATTAAAAAAAATTAATTTTCCCGAAGATGAGATCAAACATGACCGGTCTATTCTATAACAAAAATATCATAATAATAACTTTATTTATATATCGTCAAATTTAAAAAAAGTAAATAATCATAATAATAATTAATCCCTTATTCTTATTGGTCTGATTGATCAAATTAATTTTTTCAATTAATTTATACTTTTATGTAAGGTTTTGGTCGAAATGAAAAAGTGAGTGTCACGAGCGGGATTCGAACCCATGTCCTTCGGCTCAATACGCCACTGCTCTACCACTTGAGGTATCGTGACTTCGATCCACTCGGACACCAACTTCCCATCTCAACCTACAACTTAATTTTAATTTTAATAAAGTTACATATACAATACGCCGCTGCTCTAACCATTTGAAATTCTGAATTGAAAAAAAATTGACTTAGAGGAATTCTGCATTAGAACTAGGTTTGGTCGTTTATAAAGGCAAAATCTGTTCGAATCCCGCTCATAATATTAACGTGTGTGCCGATTAGTGACCGTTAATCGATATTTATTTAGAAATCGTGAGATGCGGTCTGGTGTGATGTAGGTTTCAGAAAAACATTTTTTTTTATCGTGCCAACGTTTCGAACTTTATTGAGATCATCTTCAGAGCCTGGGATTTACAAACATTGTTTATATATTACAATTACATTTTGGATGTGGAAAAGTGAATTTATACAATGTAAAATATATTTTATATATTCAATCAAAGTATTTCTACTCACTCA